GCCCGTGGAGGCGGCTGCGGTGGAGGCCGAGTCTGCGGCGTCGCTCGTCGAATCCGCTGACTCGCGAAGTCGTTTTAAAAGCCGCAACGCGGGCGGGGACGGCGCGGGCGATGAGGGCGTGTGGGCGAGGGCGTCCCAGCTGCAACAGCAGCAAAACGCCGCCTCAAAGGGCTCCAATTACGCGAGTGAGCACGGTGCCATCCCGTCTAAGGATCCCTGACTTCGTTGCCTGATCTCCAAGTCCGGCCGTTTGCATGTGCTTGGCAATTGAACGCGCGACGCGAAATGCTCTTTAGGTAATGAAAATGCCGTACTATTCTTTACGAAATAAATATCGATTTTTTTACTCTCACATTCTTTACTTACACTCGTATTTTTAAATAAATATGGACAATTAAAATAACTTTTGTGGTAGAACGATATTTGAGCCCCTTTCATTGTAGATATCTTTGATGAAGTTTCATTGCTTTGTTTGTATGAACTCAGCCACTTAGTAATCTTTTTACTGTTGAAGCAAGATGGCCTTTAAGAAACGATGGGCGAAACAGTCTTGTTAGGTCGACAGACTAGTTGGCTGACAAACGTAATACTTATAAATAAGAGTGTACAAAACACATATGTTAAATATGTATGTTGTTTGATAATACGTGTTGAAATTGTAGAGCTGCTGTTAATGTGTTTCAAAAGTTTCTAAGTTTACTAAACTGAAATCAGGAATATTGTGTTACGGTAAAACTGTATTCTTTGATTGCAAATATTTATTTCATTGTGTGTTGAGAAAACATCGTAGAGTGGATTAACCATGTACTTTAACATCCCCGTACCAAACTGGCTCATCGGGGGATGGGGGATTCTTGTCTTTTCATGTCACTTACCGTGTAGTTGAAAAGGAAAATTGTTTATTTTTTACAACCATACTGTGAGGTGATGTTTGCACCATTGTAACTAAACAGACCGATAGGTGCAACGGTCGTATACATTCAGAATATAATTTTTTCTAGGAAGTGATTAGCTTAAAAGATACGTAATATGTGACGAGAGCAATAAACACTATTCATTTCTTATGAAACAGATTTTTAAAAACAATTGATCAAACATCTTCAAGGGTGAACCTACACATGTTCGTTGTTTTGGGGGTATGATATAACATGTATGGGATTAATATAGTAATTACCGGTATGGTTTATGAGTAATGCGTGAGAAGGAGAATGGATAAATAATTTGTTTCTGAAATGTTATTGGAGATGAAATGACACACTGTGAGAAACTATAGTAGTACCAAATTATACTCCTGTGTATATGGACGGCCTGTTCAAAAAGAAACAGAACTTACAATAGTGTAAGGGTGATACAATCTATTATGTATCCAAGTTGCAATCTTCGTTTCTTTCTTATTAAATTTAAAATGAGAAAATTTTCCATGAAAACACTTTGTAGAAATTACATGTATGGAACGTTACATGACAAATATAGCATTTGCGATAATTATCATTGTTATGAAAGAAGTGTTTCTACCTGTCAGAGTAGCGGATCACAATGCACACTGTCTCTTTAGACTGGGGACTCGTAGAGTTAATTATAGGAGAAGTTTATCTACTGTTTGTCAAAACGCACACCACCGAGAATCAGTCATTTGAACTCGAAAGCGTTTCTAGTTAACGCGAAATTCGGCCAAAGACGAAGAGACGAAGAGAGCGCTTTCAAGAGCGCGGCATCGCAGTCGGATGAGCGGCACTCTGCGAATGGCCCCCACGCGCCCCATGCCCGCCCGCGCCGCGCAGCGCTGCCAACGCAATGCGCCCCCAGCCAGGCGATGGGAAATCGGAAACCAAATTTCTGGAGCGAAGGGGACTTGCACCTTTTGCCAGCTTCGTGGTACTTTCCACTGCGCCGTCGCAGTGCGGGCTCCGATAAGCCATTATGTTGGAGCCAGTCGGCAGGCAATATTATTTCGACCTGTAAATTCGCTTTTTACTTTCCTGTATAGGTACGTATGTATGGAGTAATATACGTAGTATAGGGAAAGTTTTATAATGCTGCGGAAAATCGATTTCCAGTTTTCAACGGAAATACACGTTTTGGGTCCCCTGATACCGAAAAGTGATTTTTGCAAAACCATCTCTCTGTCCGTCCGGCCGTTTGTGGTGAATGTGAACACGACTAGCGCCTAAACCATGAGTAGAATTTTTTCAAATTTTAAAATATCCTGTCGATCTTTCCCGAGTAAGAACTATGCCATTTTGAAAACGTCATTAACTTTTTGGAGTACTTTACATCAAGTCAATGGGCTGTTTTCAAAATTTTCTCAAAAAACGACTCCAAATTTTTTCTTGTACCAATAGAATAAAATAGACGGATAAAGAATGCATCCGTCCGATTTTCACAGTTAACTCTGATTTTTCGAATATTGGGTGGAATATTTTCAATTTTAAAAAATTACAAAAACAAGATTTTTTTAAAAGTTGCTATAAGTTGTTTCTTCAATTTTTTGAAGAGATAGTGCTAAATGTACTGTTTAATATGACAAAAAAGGCATTTTGCTGTAACATTAAAAAAACAAATATTTAAATTTAAAATATTTTTCACGCCGTTAATATGCACATTCCCAGCAATTTTTAAACACTAATTCATTTGTGACCGAAAGTGTTTAAAATGACTTCATATGAACACTTAAAGCTCTAGTGTTGACCCCAGCCGTTTTGTCGTCAATCGCATTTTCGGTATCAAGGACCCAAAAACTAGGATTGAGGCAAGATCACGTGTCAGAAGAATTTTTTTGTATGTTTATCAACTGCAACACAGAACGCTTATGAGAATGAGTGAGATTTGGTTAGCATTGAAATCTCTGAATATTCGAACTATACATGTTTACATTTTTTCGGCGTTGTTTTACAACTGGTTAACATAAGACGTATTTCTTTTGTAATAACATATGTTCAAAAATACATATTTTTAAAACAACAACCTGTACATATTTTTAAATTATAAGTGTGCAATATAAGCAATTTTAAAAACTTGATTTTCTTTCAAATTGCTTCAAAACTTTTCTTTAATTTTTTACTTTCTTGGACTTACTAACGAAGAAGAGAAAGTATTGTATTCGTGCTTCGTAAAAGGAAAAATTTCGACAAGTTGACTGACACCCTCGCCGCCTGCATCCTCGTCGCCTCCCACTGCTACCTCCCGATGAAGGACAATGCAATACACTTCCGGGACTAATGGCTTTAGCAGTTGACGCATTCGAAATCACTAATCAATCAGTCAATGAACCAAAATCAATCTCATCGCCTTCGTAGTCACCTATATCCTCATCGCCTCCAACGTCGTCTTCACTCTCGACCCATTCAACCTCTTCGCCTCTAACCCTACATCTCCCTTCTCTCAATTACACTCTTCTTACCTTCACGTTCACTGCCTGCAACATAATGTCCTTTCTCGTTTCCACTGAAGTCTTCATTTTGATTTTGTTGCATCCCTTTTGTCATTGGCGTTGCATTATTTTCAGCCGCCGTCGCCGCCAACATCAACAACAGTAACAACAGAAAGTTTTTGCCTTTTCAACCGGGATTCATCGAACGTCTTCCCTCTCACCCATGGCATCCTCGCTTCTGAATAATCTTTAGTCTTCCACTTCTCCAACTTTTCTTTCTCTGCCACACTTTCTCTGCCTCTTTTTCATTTTCTTTATTCTTCTCTTTTTGGTCCTTCGGTATATTTTGTTCCTTCCCATCTTGTTCATCTTTCTCTTCTTCTTATAATCCTCTTGTTCTCATTCTCTTCCACCCTTCGCTCTCTACTGTCTGCCGCCCCAGCGTTCCTTGCGGTCGACTTCCTCGCCACTCCCTCCACATCTCCGTCATTGCCTCCACCTGCCTCCCTCGGGGGAAGCTGCCGCTACGCTTGCGGCGTTCTCCGCGGCTGCGCGCGCTCGCGTCTTTTTAAATGCGCTGCTCGAGGCGGCGAAGCGCGGCTGACAAGCGCGGCCCGCGCCGCCGCCGGGATGGGCGCCAAGCGGACCAGAAGGAATCGCTGAATGGCGCCGCCGCCCGCTTTTTCAAAGGAAGTATTCGACAGGAAGCTGCGTTGCGTGGGAGGGCGGAGGGAGGTGGCTGGCGGAGGAGATGGCTACGACGGGTGCGTTTGGAGAGGGACGGACTATGTGTGCACGGTGATCCGTTTGGGTGATAGAGATGGCGAAGAAGATTTCGGGGAATGTGATTATGCTATAAGGATGTTTCGTACAAATATTTTTTTTAAAAAAAAACAGTAATGATGTCATATACTGGGTGAATGGCTTGTATGTTAAAAATTGTTGCTGATATGAGAAGATGATGAAATAAGATTAGTAGTTGAGTTTTTTGAACAGTTGAGAACATATTTATCACAGTACAAGATCTGTTGATAGGGAAAAAGTCTGTTTTGTGATGGAAAACACTTGTGGCTCACTACCACACATCTTCATCATAACTTTGTCAATTCAGAGTCGAGATACGGTGAGATAAAGAGGGAACGTGACTGTTATTGGCATGTTAGCCCTGAAGATATTCCATGAAAGCTTTCAAGTTCACACAAAGGTAGCAGGCGACAATGGAGGTAGCGACCGCATTGGCAGCGGCATAATGAGGTCACCGGCGCCGACGGGCGACGGCGGAGCGGCGGCAGCGGCGTGGTGGCGAGGGCGGTGGCGAGGGCGGTGACGTGGCAACCCTGCGCAGCCGGCTGCATCGGTGTTTCCCCGCGCCTGGCCTAAAATACCGCCCTGCGGCACGCCCGCCTGCGTCGACGGCGCTGCGCTCTGGCGGCGGCGGGTGACTGACGGCTCCCAGAATGCCGCGCGCCGCCAGGTTTTTGTGGGGGCGCCGCGCCCGCGCTCGCGCGCGCTCTAGCGTGGGGCGCAGGCATCGGAGCGCAGGGCGCGGAGCGTTCCCCTTCCGGTGTGTCTTGCGGGTTGCCGCCCCGCGGAAGGGGCCCGTTGTTCCGGGAAGCCGCTGGGCTGTCTCCCTTCGCGCAGAACGCGATGTTTCGGCGGCAACGCCCCGCGTTTTGACAGGCCCCTCCGCCAGCGAACTGGCGTTTCCAGAACGGGGGAGCGGGGTCCTGCGATCTTGAGGCGTTTGAGGAGAGGGAATTTTGGGGGTTACATGTAGTTGGTAATACGCAGCTCTGACTTTTGGTTTATTTATCTCAATCAAAGATGTTAAAATATTCCAATTAAAAGTG